GCCAGAGAGGAAAACGTTCAGGGAGGGAAGATGGGAAGCAGAGGGTGGAAGGGTAATTTTATTTTTTTAATTATTCTTTTATCTTTATTTTATTTATTTTATTTTAAAGTAATCGCTACACCCAACATGGGGCTCAAACCCACAACCCCGAGATCAAGAGTCATAGGCTCCACTGACCGTGCCAGCCAGGTGCTCCAGAAGTATAATTTTATTTATTTTTTTTAAAGATTTTATTTATTTATTTGACAGAGGGAGACAAGGAGAGAGGGAACACAAGCAGGCAGAGTGGGTGAGGAAGAAGCAGGCTTCCCGCCGAGCAAGGAGCCTGATGCGGGGCTCGATCCCAGGACCCTGGGATCATGACCTGAGCCGAAGGCAGACGCTTAACGACTGAGCCACCCAGGTGCCCCTCCAGAAGTATAATTTTAAATAAGTAGTTCTTAGAAGGCCCCGCTGGAAAATAGTGTTGTAGCAAATACCTGAAAGAAGTAAAGACCGAAGCTATGGTCCAGGCATGGCTGGAGCAGAATGAGAGAGGGCAATAAAAGAGATGAAGTGAAAGGGAGTATGTGTGTATATGTGTGTGCATTGTGTGTGCATGGGGGAGGAAGGCAGGATGCATACACTTTTTGTTTTTTAAGATTTTATTTATTTATTTGACAGAGAGAGACACAGCGAGAGAGGGAACACAAGCAGAGGGAGTGGGAGAGGGACAGCAGAGAGCTCGATGTGGGGCTCGATCCCAGGACCCTGGGATCATCACCTGAGCCGAAGGCAGACGCTTAACGACTGAGCCACCCAGGTGCCCCAGGATGCATACACTTTTGACAGACTTTGGTTTGTACTCCCAGGGAAGTGGGGAACTACTTAAGTATTTGAAATAAGGAAGTGATCTGATCTGATGCACATTTTCACAGGGTCACTCTGACCACTATATTGGGAGGAGAGTGTGTAGAGTGTCAGAGGGAGGGATACAAGTCACAAGGCTATTGCAAGAATCTGGGACCCAAGTGCAGGGACTAGATCTTTGTTTCTCCAGGAAGAGTTTGATGAGTTTGATAAATGGTTGTAGAACTGATTGAATGAAATAGCTTCTTCCTCAGTGTCTGGCCTATCCCATTTCCTACTTTATTTTCTTTAGAACTGTAGAGGGTGGGAAACTGCCCAAACTTCCCAATCCCTGGAAGCCAGGCTATCTGGAATTGGCTGTGTTTACTTCTCTGTACTGTTCCATAGCACCATACAATACCCTAAGCCCTTCAGGGCAAAGAAGTCATCAACATCAAAAAACAAATCACTGGAAAACATGGGCAAGCGGACTTAAATAATACAGTTCATTTAGTCAGGTGGTTGGGAGAAAACACACTCATGAGATAATTAACTCATAGCAGTGCTCAATAAAATATTTTCTTTGAAATGTTGATGTTTCAAGGCATATTTACATAAAATACCAGTGAAAATTTAAGTCAAAACAGCTGGAGTTTTAGGCATTGTTCTCTGCAAAGAGGAAGACTCTCCCTGGTCCAGTCATTCTATAGTAACTACTATCTCTCTCTCTCTCTCTCTCTCTTTTTTTTTTTTTTTTTTTTTTAGTAACTACTATCTCTTTGAGTATTTACTCTATACCAGGAACTGTGCTAAGAAGCATTTATGGGCATTTAGCAAACTAAATCTTCACAACCATCCTACAAGAAAGGTACTATGAACATTCCCAGGTTATAGATAACAAAATGGAGCCTGAGGAAAGGTTGAAGGGACATCATAGGGATTTAGTATCTTATCTTCCCTAGTGGGAGACCCTGTCGGGGAGGACTGATCCTCATGAGAAGTGTCCCCTGGACAGGATGAGGAAGACCCCTGTGCTGCTGCTAGAAGGCAACTTTCCCTGGGAGGGAGAGAGGGTATAGGCTGAGGCAAGTGGCCCTGGGAGGCAGCATCCTGAGAGCTAGGTGGCAGGTTGGGGTGTAAAGAAGACTGCAGAGAGAAAGGAAGGAAATAAAAAGCCCATCTGGTGAGCTTTGACCGGGCATCAAACACGGTCACTATTTTATCCTCACACACCTTTAAACTAAAAAAAAAAAAAAAATACTGACTCCATTTTATAAGTAAAGAACCGAAAGCTTAGAGAAGGTAAGTAATTTCTCTAAGGTCACACAAATGTTAGCAAGGTTACATGATTTCAAGGCCAAGCTCTTAATCACATTTCCCAGAGAACTGGAGACATAACAGTGAGAGATTCCTAGAGATGCACTACTGAAAGGCAGCCAGTAAAAAGAATCCTGGGGGCCCCTGGGTGGCTCAGACACTTAAGCGTCTGACTCCTGGTTTCGGCGCTGATCATAATTTCAGGGTCCTGAGATCGAGTCCTCTGTGGGGTTCTGTGCTCAGCATGGTGTCTGCTTGTCCTTCCCCCTCTGCTCCTCCCCACGCCGGCTCTGTCTCTTCTCTCTCTCTCTCTCATAAATAAAGAGAATCTTAAAAAAAAATAAAAATCTGGGCAGCTTTTGCTGGCCATTCTTGGCTGTATGTGTGTTGAGAGGCAGTCACTCCTGTTATTCAGGGAGCAATTATTCCATTCTCATGGCAGGTTCAGGGCCATTTGCTTCTCTTTGTTTTCAACCATTTATTTCCCTACTCCTGCGAGCTCCTGTCAGGACCCAGGGAAGAGGCAGAATGCTAACCATCCACTTAGGTAACTTCGGAAATGTCTTACTGGGCATATGGTTGGAACAACTGGCTAACATATTTTATACAATTTTGTCTGCCCAAATTATCTGGAGCCCACATTAGTTTTGTTTATTGGCCCCATGGTGGGGTCAGTAAGAAGTCACACAGGGCCCTTATCAGATGTGAGCTCCATCTTAGAAACTCACAGGTCTGTGGCCATTTGGTTTATGGTGGTTCAAAAATTCATGATAGTCACCAGTAACTGATTTACCATACTTAGAGGTCTTCTTCTTCTTCTTCTTTTTTTTAAGATTTTATTTATTTATTCATGAGAGAGAGCGAGAGAGGCAGAGGGAGAAGCAGGCTCCCAAGGAGCAGGGAGCCCGATGCAGGACTCGATCCCAGGACCCTGGGATCATGACCCGAGCCGAAGGCAGACACTTAACCATCTGAGCCACCCAGGCGCCCAAACTTAGAAGTCTTCTAAGGAGAATGGTGGACTCTCAGGACTCAAGCCTCTCAAGAGGCTATCTGGACTCACCCAATCTGGCCGCTCGCCCTGGGAAGGAACTCCCCTCTCCAACGTGCCATGGGGATGGCCTGGTCCGTTGCTGCAAGTCCTGTAGTGATGTGGCCCTCAAGCTCAGCTGACAGCTCTCAGGACTGAGACCCGTGGTACTTGCTAGAAATCTCTTTCTATACTGAGCCACAATTAGCCTCCCACTGTGGCTTCCATATATTTCTGCTCTTGGGGAGCTACTCAAAACCTGTCTAACCCTCTTCTCTGAGCATTAATCCTTCAAACATCTGAGGACAATACTGATGTTTCTCTTTTCTGCTCCTCCATCACCCAGTAGTTTAGCAGGTAACTTTAAACTTGATTTTGCCTTTTCTTTTTGTTAAAAAAAGATTTTATTTATTTATTTGACAGAGACAGCGAGAGAGGGAACACAAGCAGGGGGAGTGGGAAAGGGAGAAGCAGGCCCGCGGAGCAGGGATCCTGATGCGGGGCTCCATCCCAGGGCCGTGGGATCATGACCTGAGCCGAAGGCAATCGCTTAACCAACTGAGCCACCCAGGTGCCCCTGATTTTGCTTTTGCAAAGCAAACAATATTACCAGTATGATGCTGGCCCTTGTGCACCCACCCCCAAACTCTCACTCCTTTTCTCAACACTCCCTCTATCTTCTTATATATTGCTTTGGACTACCGGCTCCCTATGCGGGGGAGACCCTGGTCGAAGCATTTATAGTGCAGTGATTAATAGAAAGTGGCAGTCATGGACTAGAGATTAAATGTGGTGTGTGTTTATAAACTGTGCCTATAAACTCCGTAAATGTGGGCAATTTATCCAACCTTTCTAAACGCCAGTTCCTCATCTGTAAATTGGGAATAAGCATACTTAATGCGCGGCTTGCGGTCGGTATTAAACTAGTGTTCCAAATCATTAGCTCTTGGCACTTAAGGTAGCTGTCCCAACTATCACCTCGCCCGCTCCACCTCACGGTCGAGGAAATGGGCCTAGAAGGGGGTGAAGAGGTTTGTTCGAGATCACAGCTAGTTAAGAGCAGAGTGGAAACTAATTCCAGATTCTTGACCCCTCGCCAGGACTCCTTCCTGCTCCCCACCGCTTTCGTTGGTGTCCGCAGCCATCTACCAAGTGTCTGCAGATTAAAAACTTACCCCTTTAAAACAACAAAAACAAAAAACAAAGCAGAAAAAAAAAATCCAACAAACTCACCCCTTTTCCCCCCAGTGCCCGCTACACTGGGAAGCCTCTACCAATTATCAACGACAAAGTCCGTGAGCTCAGGCCTCGGCTTTTTCCATTTAGCAAGGGGGAGGAGGGAAAGACACGGAAGACCCTGGATCCCCAACAGTAATTAAAGGGTAATGGGAGTTCTGGGCGTGGCCCGGTCTAAAAGAACTCGCAGTCCCGGCGTTCCTGTCATTTGCATTCCAATACAGCTACTTCACCCGCCCCGCCCCGCCTGCGGGCGGCTCCCGCACCCTCCCGCCGGCGGCTGGCGCACCTGCAGCGCGGAGGTGGGGGCTCGCGCGCGGGGCCAGACTGCCAGGAGCTGGACCCGCGCGTTGGCGTTCGCAGGGGCGGAGCCGAGCCGCGCGTTCCGGCCCGGGGGCGTGGCATCGCGCAGGTGCGCCGAGCGCCTCGGGTTTCACTGAAACTTCGCCCTCTCTCGGGAGGCGAGTGGAGAGGCTTGGATTAGAGCAGGTGAGACCGCGGCTTCCTCTCCGAGCGGCGAGTGGAGCTCCGAGTTTCGAATCAGTGGCGGCGACTGCCCTGCCCGCCCGGCGTCGGGGCTGCAGGAAGGATGCGAAGCGTGAGCGCGGCGTGTATGCTGGGGGGCGCCATCCTGCTGGCGGCCTCTGTCTCCTGCAGTCGTACCGTCCAAGGTGAGAAACTTGGTCAGGGAGGGCTCCTGCCGCTAAGGAGCGGGGGTCCAAGGCACACGGGCAGGTGGTGGAAGCGGGCAGGTGCGCGAAGGGTGTTCTGCTGCCGCTGCCACCACCTCTCGCATCCCCCTCTAGGTGACTTTGATGGGGATCCCTGCGCCGGGAGGGCCTACTAGCTGGGTGGGGACAAACGGGAGAGGCTGAGGTCCGCGGAGGGAATGGAGTGCTCACATCTAAAGGATACCTAGAGGGCTCAACCGCCCTTCCTTCTGGTTGGCTTCTTTGGAAACTAAGGAGCTTTCCGCAAATACTGAGGGGCTGGCCCCGCTAGACCCCTTGGAGTTGGCTGGCTCAGAGCAATGTGGAATGGGTGAGAGCCAAGGCCTGGGAAACATCTTTGGCGCTTTTTGCGACCCCCTTCAGCTTTTAGAGCCCCTTCTTCCGAGTCGGCTCACGTAGTTCGAAACCCTCCCGGGGCGCGAAGCTCCTCCGGCACCGTGGATGGCCGGGGTCTGGAAGGGCCGGACCCAGCTGAGTTTGGGGGTAATGAGCGCTCAGCCTCCAGTTCTAGAGCAGTTGCGAGTCACGCGGATTTTACAAATGGAACTTCTCGGACCGTGCCTTTTATTCGGCCAGGTGACCTTACGGCCCTGGGTTTCCGGGCCTTTGTGTGCCACACGTAACAGACTTTGGCTGGCGCTGAGGTGTGTATGGCGGAGGCTTGCCAGCTCCGGGACTGGAACAGCACGGGAGCCGTCCGGCGGTGCTCAGAGGCTAACTTGTGCGGGGCAGCTGGGTTCCGCCAGTGTGCTGCCGGGTGTGTGCTCCAGCCTGTCCTCCTGGGGGCGGGGTCTCCCCGGCTGAGCGGGCCTCTCATCGGGGGATCGTTGGCCGGATATCACGCTACTGTGTTGCTAACGGGTGTCCGGCTGTTTGGAGCAGCCAGGGTAGTCCTAAAAGGGAGGTTTTCATTTCCCTGCGCAATTTGCAGACCTGCTGTAAAAGGCAGGGTCTCGCTTTTATCTTCGTAAAAACATTGTAAAAGAGCAAATCACTGTCGATTTGAATTAGACTGAAGAAAGTGACCCTTTTTCCCCTGGAGTTGCAGAAAAGGATGTTGTAGTATATACTTGAAAACTGCACCACTGTATACATTTTATTGGTCAGCATTAGAATAAAGACATTTATTAACCAGGAACATTGAAACTGTGGTGAACACTTTTCGTTTTGCCTCTGTCTTTTAAAGTTGGAAACTTAAAATTCGGGGGTAAAACTAAGGTTGTGCATACATTTAAAAAATACGTAGGTGTAGATGACTGAATGCTTTTCTGATTTAGACAGTTCGTATAGGAAGATAGCCCTGAGTATTTGACTTGTTTACAAATTGACGGGGCTGGGGTGGGGGGGACTGGTTCCTGGAGAATATAGTGAACTTGTTCAACAACAACAAAAAAATCAAGTTACTTGTTAACCGGAACTATTTAATATTGCACCTTGAGGGTTTTTTTCTCCACATACTTTTGTTCCTATTTCATGGTAACTTTCCTAAAGGGTTAGTTAAGTGACAGACATTAATAATGGTAGATGGAGCTTTCCCTCCCAATCTGAAACTAAATCGAGTATGATTAAGAAATAGAGCATCCGCAAAGTTCTTCTGCCCCTTAGCATGCCTCTTTGCTCATCCCCTTTTAGCTTGACCCTTATGCATGCTCCTCAGTTTGCTACAGGGCATATATTTGGTTTGATTTTCTTCTCAGTTTTTTGGGGGGATCTCACGAAAAAGACTGACTCCTAGAGGGCAGCTCCACCAAGGATACACCCCTCTCATTTCACAGATGGGGGCCACTGATTTGGGGGTCGGGGCAAGGAAAACACTCATCAGACCACATTTGCATTCCTGTCCCAACAGTAATTGATAATTATTTGTGTAAATATGTTTAATTTGTCTCCCCACTGGATCATAAACTCTGGGAGGCCAGGGAAACATCACCATCACCATGGTCCAGCACAGTCTCATTATCGAAAGGAGCTCAGTAAATATCGAATGAGGAATGAAGTGAGTGGACTTACCCAGAGTGGCCGGGTAGGGTGATGGCAGTTGGGAATTTTTGTCAGCTTGTTTTAGGCATGCACTTCTTTCTACCATGTCACAAGCCTAGGAGGGTCCCCTATGATGCATTCTGCTTTTCTTTTGGAGACTGAAACTTCTGTTCTCTTTGTAATTGATAACGCATTATACAGGTAGTATGTGATTTAGACAAGTTCTGGAGAGCAATAATGAGCACAATTGCAGGGGGAGGGGCAGAGGGAGAGGGAGAGAGAATCCTAAGCAGGCTCCACCCCAGGCACCCCACAAAAATTTTTTTGAAAAAGAAAAGTTTAATAAAATCATTTCACTACTCAGGGGCACCTGGGTAGCTCATTTGGTTAAGTGCCGAACTCTTCACCTCAGCTCAGGTCTTGATCTCAGCGTAGCAAATTCAAGCCCCGCTTTGGGCTCCATGCTGGGTGTGGAGCCTACTTAAAAAAAAAAATCATTTTCAGGGTGCCTGGGTGGCTCAGTCGGTTAAGCATCTCCTTCGGCTCAGGTCATGATCTCAGGGCCCTGGGATGGAGCCCTGCAACCTGCTCCCTGCTGAGCAGGGAGCCGGCTTCTCCCTCTCCCTCTGCTGCTCCCCCTGCTTGTGCTCTCTCTGGTGCACGCACTCTCTCTCATAAATACATACATACATACATAAATACATACATACAAACAAATACATAAAAAATAAATAAAATAATAAAAAGTAAAGATAAATAAAATAAAAATCTTTTAAAAAAATCATTTTCAGTACCCAAAGTAAACCCCTGCTGACGTTTCGGTTTGTATCCTCTACCATGCTTTCATGCATCCATGCCTAAAATATGTACTCATAAACAGAGAAGATCTTTTTGTGGGGCACGTGGGTGGCTCAGTCTTTTAAGCTGTCGACTCTCGGTGTTGGCTCAGGTTGTGATTTCGTGGATCCTGGGATCAAGCCCCGCCTCTTGCTCCTGCCCCTCCCCCCACTCATGGGCCCCTCTCCCGAATAAATAAGTATTTTTTTTAAAAAATAGTTTATTGGGGTGCCTGGGTGGCTCATCTGTCAAATGAATCAATAAAATCTTTTAAAATAAATAAAAAATAATTATTTATTTGATAGAGCGAGAGCACGAGTGGGGGGGTAGGGGCAGAGGGGGAAGCAGACTCCCCGCTGAGCTGAGCGGGAAGCCTGTTGCAGGACTCGATCCCAGGACGCTGGGATCCTGAGCGCAGCTGAAGGCAGCCTCTTAACGGACTGAGCCACCCAGGCGTCCCCTAAATAAAAAAGATTTTTAAACTTTACATGTTCTAGGAGGATTTATCAGAATTTTTTTTTTTAAGATTTTATTTTTTTTGACAGAGACACGGCAAGAGAGGGAACACAAGCAGGGGGAGTGGGAGAGGGAGAAGCAGGCTTCCCGCCAAGCAGGGAGCCCGTTGCGGGGCTCGATCCCAGGAATCATGACCTGAGCCCAAGGCAGACGCATAACGACTGAGCCACCCCGGCGCCCCTATCATAATTTTTAAAATTCTTTTCTGTTAATAGACACATGGGATATTTCTAGTGTTTTGTAATAAGAGAGAATACTGTAATGAACGTGAAGATGGGACTCTTAACTTTGTGTTTGGTTTCTTGCTTGCCTTGTGCATAGTTATTAATTAACCTGGATAGATGATGATTTGATGAAGTCTGTGTTTGACTTTCCTAATGGTTTTATTAGCTAGGCAAGTGTTGAGAAGAAAACAGCTCATCCTGAAAGAACGCATGAAAATTTACTAATGTGTACCTAGGGAGGGGTCTCTGGTAATTGAAGCTTTTAGTTTTCAGCCTATGTTCCCACAGGTTGAAAGCAAATAGATTTGGGGTGAGGGGTTAGTAGAGAAAAAGATAGGAGAGTTAACACAAGTACAGTACTTGCTGTGTACTTGGTTTGGTGGGGAGGGTGAGCCACAGAAGCATGCTTAAAATAGCAAAGAACGAGTAGTAGTTTTTTTTTAATTTAATTTTTTATTTTTTTAATTTTTATTGTTATGTTAATCACCATATATTACATCATTTGTTTTGGTGTAGTGTTCCATGATTCATTGTTTGTTCATAACACCCAGTGCTCCATGCAGAATGTGCCCTCCTTAATACCCATCACCAGGCTAACCCATCCCCCTACCCTCCTCCCCTCTAGAACCCTCAGTTTGTTTTTCAGAGTCCATCGTCTCTCCTGGTAGAACGAGTAGTAGTTTTAAGATGTATATACTTATTTTAGAGAGTGGGGGCAGGGCAGAGGGAGAGAGAGTCTTAAGCAGAATCCCTGCTGAGCGCAGAGCCATCTCAGGATCTCACAAGCCTGAGATCATGACCTCAGATGAAGCCAAGAGTCAGATGCTCAACTGACTGAGCGACCCAGGCGCCCCACAAGTAGTAGTTTTAAAGTTAAAAGTTTTTCGGGGCGCCTGGGTGGCTCAGTCGTTAAAGCGCTGCCTTCGGCTCAGGTCATGATCCCAGGATCCTGGGATCCAGCCCTGCATCAGGCTCCCTGCTCGGCGGGAAGCCTGCTTCTCCCTCTCCCGCTCCCCCTGCTTGTGTTCCCTCTCTCGCTGTGTCTATCTCTGTCAAATAAATAAATTTAAAAAAAATCTTTTTTTAAAAAAAGGTAAAAGTTTTCATACATTTTTCCCAAAAGTAAATCAGAAGTGTTTTATTTTTTTTATTATTTTTTTGAAGATTTTATTTATTTGACAGAGAAAGACACAGTGAGAGAGGGAACACTAGCAGGGGGGAGGGGGAGTGGGAGAGGGAGAAGCAGGCTTCCCGTGTGGAGCAGGGAGCCCGATGCCGGGCTGGATCCTAAGACCCTGAGATCATGACCTGAGCCTCCCAGGTGCCCCAGTACTATTTTTTTAATACAATTTTTAAAATTTTTTATTGTATTTTTTCCTTCTTTCTAAGATTTATTTATTCATTTGAGAGAGAGAGGCAGACAGAGAGAGAGGCAGAGGCAGATGGAGAAGCAAACTCCCTGCTGAGCTGGGAACCTGGCATGGAGCTCCAGCCGAGCTGAAGGCAGATGCTTAACCATCTGGGCCACCCAGGCGCCCCAATAAAAATTTTTTTAAGAGAGAGAGGTGCGAGCGGGGGAGGAGTGGGGGCAGAGGGAGAGGGAGGGAAAATCTCAAGCAGCAGACTCCACACTGAGCCCAGAGCCTGACACTGGGCTCCATCCCATGACTCCGAGATCCTGATCTGAGCCTAAATCAAGAGTTGGATGCTTAACCGACTGAGCTACTCAAGCACTCCCCCCAAAAAAGTAATTTCTACACCCAACGTGGGGCTTGAACTCACAACTCTGACATCAAGAGTCACCATGCTGTACTGACTGAGCCAGCCAGGTGCCTCTATAAGTACTATTTTAATAGTTGTTTGAATCAAGATCCAAATAAGGCCGACCACACATTACATGGATTCATAGGTCTTTTAAATTCTTTAATCTGAGAGTCCCTCCTCTACACCTCATTCTCTTTTATTTTTGCTTTGTAATTTGTATTTTGAAGAAATTAGGTCCTTGATCCTGTAGCGGTTTCTACAGTCTGGGTTTTTCTGGCTCTAGTCATGTGGTGTTATTTAATATGTTCTATTGTCTCCTTTATTTCCATTAACTTGGCAGTTGGATCCAGGTGCTTGACCAGATTCAGGTTTGTTTTGTGGTGGTGTTGGTTTTTTTGGGGTTTTTTTTGGCAAGTTTAACTTGGCAGGTATTTCTTTTCTTAGGCACATAATATCTGGTCATTATTTTTGAGATATCAATGCCTAGATTTTTCTCTTTTATAAAGCAAGCTGTATAATCTTTTTTTTTTCCCCACTAAAAACAATTGAGTTTCCTTTTGGTAATTCTAAAATTGTGTTGGCTCTGTCCTACAGAAATACAGGCTAACTCATTGAATTAGACTCTGGTGGGCTGTTTCTGGGGTGGAGGACCTAGCTCTTTGAATGGCAGAGTTCTCCAGAACCCAGTCCGCCGGTCAGTTACCAGCTGTGCCCCCACTCCCTCTCTGGAGAGTTAGCACTTTACAGAGGCTTCACAGGATTCTCTTACACTTCTGAAGGGTTCAAACATGTTGATATTAATACAAATAAATATATAAATTATTAGAGAAAGGGCTAATTTAAAGAGAGTAGTTTTTAAAATGGCAAAAATTTACATTTAAACCTTTCAGTTTGAGAAAAAATATTGTGTGGAGTTGGCATAGTTTGGTTGGTCTTGATGGATCACAGCATAACGGGTCAGGGCCTCAAAGGTGCAATGTGGTATAATGGTGAGAAACATGGATTCTAGAAACTGCTTGGTGTTGAATCCTGACTTCTGCCTAACAACTGTTTTGCCTTGGGAAAGTTACTCAGTTTCTTTGTGCATCAGCTTATGGATCTATAAAAAGATGTCTGGTAATAGTACCTCCCTCAGAAGGTTGTTGTGGAAGTGAAGTGAGCTAATGCATGTAAAGTGTTGGAAGCAATGTCGGACACGTGATAGGAGCCCTTAGGAGGAACACTAACCAGTATTAAGGGAGTTGTATTTTGTAGGGCCGTGCTCCTGTAGCACCCCTGCTGGTGCTCCTGTCCTTGTGCGGCTTGGGTAGAACTGGACCAGCCAGGGAGCTAAAGAAATGGGCAGGAGAGCTCTTGATTCTCCCTTGTTTCCTTCCGTGGTGTGCCTAGCTGAGCTTCTTGATCCACGTGGTGTTGAGCACCTGCTGTATGTCAGGGCTATGCCAGGGACTGTGGGAACTAGAAAAAAAATTAGGACACAATCCCACAATTAAAGAAACCTATAATCTCATACAGGGACCCTTGCTATTTTGGGTCTGGGGAGAGTTCCACAGACATCTCATCTGTCTAAAAAACAAACTAGCCTTCTGAGGTGCTTCAAAATTCGTCACTCTGCTAACTGGTTTTGAAAAACATTTAAGTGGGTCTTGAAGTCAGTGTAGAGGGTGGTGACTAGCTTTTTATAAGGATGAAATAGAATATAATAGAAAGTGTTAGAATGCAGCCTGTGTAATAAAGGTAATTGTTTTGTGAAACTTTTTTCCGTTATGGATAATATGTATTAGAACTGGGTGTTTCTTACTGTGGGTTTTAGTCAAGTATCTGAGGAACACTGTAATATGTAGCAATATTTTAACATTTTTAATTTAAAAATAATTCATATTCTTCTTAAAACATTATAAAAGAGATTAGGTACAACAAGAGATGGGTGTATTCTAAGTGTTTAGTTTCCTGTGGCTGCCATTAACAGTTGCACTGGCTGGTGGCTTTCAAATAGAAATATATTCATTCACAGTTCTGGGGGGCAGAGGTCTGAAATCAAGGTGTGAGCACGTCTGAGGACTCGGGGAGAATCTGTTCCTTGTTTCCTCTAGCTTCTCAGGGTTGTTGGTGTTTCTTGGCATTCCTTGGCTTGTTCCTCAGCATCGTTCCAACCTCTGCCTCCATTTTCATACTCTTTCTCCTTTCGGCCTTCTCTCCTGTTTCTCTCAAATCTCCCTCTGACTTTCTCTTATAAAGACACTTGTCATTGGATTTAGGGCCCACTTACGTAATCAGAATGATCTTCTCATCTCAAGATCCTTAATTATATCTACAGAGATCTTTTTTTTCTTTTTAAGAATTTATTTATTTGAGAGAGAGCGCACACATGAGTGCACGAGCAGGGGGAGAGGTGGAGGGAGAGGGAAAGAGAGTATCTCAAGCCAACTCCCCACTGAGCCCGGAGCCCAAAGCGGAACTTGATCTTATGGCCCTAAGATCATGACCTGAGCCAAAATCAAAACTCAGATGTTCAATTGACTGAGCTACCAGGTGCCCCCAAAAGATCCTTTTTCTTTCTTTCTTTCCTTTTTTTTTTTTTTTTTAAGATTCTATTTATTTATTTGAGAGAGAGAGAGAGAGAGAGAAGAGAGACAGAGCACAAGCAGGGGGAGGGGCAGAGGGAGAAGCAGACTCCCTGCTGAGCAGGGAGCCCTTTGCGGTGCTCCATCCCAGGACCCTGAGATAGTGACCTCAGCCGGAGGCAGACGTTTCGCCCACTGAGCCACCCAGGCGCCCTCCCTCACTTTCTTCTGCGGCTCCGTGAACACTTGGTTAGGCAGGATGTAGGCTGGATAAGTCATTTGTGTGTGGTTTCTAAAGTTTAAGGCAAATACGGGAATGACAGCATACATTGTTCAGCTTGCCATGGTACTTATTTCAGAGTCAGAGCGCAGATTGTCTGAACACAAATAGTGCACCGACCCGTTCAGTGACCCTGAGGTCAGAAGACTTGCCTGCCCGCTGGCCTCCATAGGAAGGTTTCCAGGAGGCTCACGCAGTAGCAGGGCAGTCCCTGCCCGTGGCCTGCAGTGTCCTCATGGGTGCAGAGGGAACGTTCCTTGTGCTGCTGGGGATCTCCCTGTGTCAGACTTTGGGAGAGGGAATGACAGACAGGCCAGGCTGGATGCTGTCTCACATGAGAGAGGTGGCCGTCATTGGAATAGTTAGGAACAAATAACTGTGGGTCATGTGTAAAAATAAATTTAAATACTAAAATTATTAAAAAATAAATTTAAATACTGTCAGTTTTTTAATTTAATTTAATTTTTTTAAAGATTTTGTTTATTTATTTGACAGAGAGAGATACACAGTGAGAGAGAGAACACAAGTAGGGGGAGTGGGAGAGGGAGAAGCAGGCTTCCCGTGGAGCAGGGAGCCCGTTGCGGAGCTCAATCCCAGGACCCTGGGATCATGACCTGAGCCGAAGGCAGACGCTTAAAGACTGAGCCACCCAGGTGCCACTAAATACTATCAGTTTTTTGAGTCCTAGAAATCAGTTTTGTATTTCACATGTACCCAACCTTCTGATAAAAAAAAAAAAAACATTGTAAAAAACAAAGATACAAACAAAACCCAATAATCCCATCACCCAAAGAAAGCACTTGTAAGCCGTTTGTATACTCCTTTTGTCTTTGTCTAAAGTACTTTTATTTAAAGATTTTATTTATTCATTTACTTGAGAGAGAGAGAGGAAAAGCACATGAAAGCTTGGAGGCGAGAAGAGCGGGGAGGAGAGGGAGAGAATCTCAAGCCGACTCCACACTGAGCATGGAGCATGGCAGGGCTCCATCTCACGACCCTGAGATATGACTTCAGCTGAAACCAAGAGCTGAACACCTAACTGACTGAGCCACCCAGGAGCCCCTAAAGTACTTTTATTTAAACAATTACCGCTGAAAGATTGATCTCTGTAATGACCCTTGTCTGCCTTGCCTTTTTTGTATAGGAACCAATAGAACCTCTAAAGGAAGAAGTCTCATTGGTAAGGTTGACAGCTCATCTCATATCACTGGGAAAGGAGTTACCGTGGAGCCAGGCTTTTCTGTGGATGAGTTTTCTGCCTCCGTCCTCACTGGAAAACTGACTACTGTCTTTCTTCCAATTGTCTACATGATTGTATTTGTGATTGGTTTGCCAAGTAATGGCATGGCTCTGTGGGTCTTTCTTTTCCGAACAAAGAAGAAGCACCCTGCTGTGATTTACATGGCCAATCTAGCCTTGGCAGACCTCCTCTCTGTGATCTGGTTCCCTTTGAAGATTGCTTATCACATACATGGCAACAACTGGATTTATGGGGAAGCTCTTTGCAAAGTACTCATTGGCTTTTTCTATGGCAACATGTACTGTTCCATTCTCTTCATGACCTGCCTCAGTGTGCAGAGGTACTGGGTCATCGTGAATCCCTTGGTGCACCCCAGGAAGAAGGCAAACATTGCCTTTGGGGTCTCGCTGGGGATATGGGTGCTGATTCTGCTGGTTACCATCCCCTTGTATGTCGTGAAGCAGACTGTCTACATTCCAGCCCTTAACATCACAACCTGCCATGATGTTTTGCCTAAGGAGGTGTTGGTAGGGGACATGTTCAATTATTTCCTCTCTCTGGCCATCGGAGTCTTTCTATTCCCAGCCTTGCTCACAGCCTCTGCCTATGTGCTAATGATCAGAATACTCCAATCTTCTGCTATGGATGAAAACTCGGAAAAGAAGAGGCAGAGAGCCATCAAACTCATTGTCACTGTCCTGGCCATGTACCTGATCTGCTTCACTCCTAGTAACCTTCTGCTTGTGGTACATTATTTCCTTATTAAAACCAGGAGCCAGAGCCACGTCTACGCCCTGTACATTGTAGCCCTCTGCCTCTCCACCCTCAACAGCTGCATCGACCCCTTCGTCTATTACTTTGTTTCACAAGACTTCAGGGATCACGTGAAGAATGCTCTCCTTTGTCGAAGTGTTCGTACCGTACGGCAGATGCAAATATCTTTCACCTCAAAGAAGTCCTCCAGGAAATCCAGCTCTTATTCTTCAAGTTCAACCACTGTTAAAACCTCTTACTGAGTTTTTCAGGCCCTCCGTTGGTTGTTTTACAGGAGGATTTGGAGCCTGCTTAATGTTATGGGTATGTTTCTGTTGTCCCCTGACCAAGTGGGTCTCACCACATGCCATGTATATGTAGCACCTCTCAGGATTGCTGGAAGCTTCCCTGTTTGCATGAGGAAAGTCCCCCAAGTTAACAGATGTCAGTTTTAGAATTCCTCTACTCAGGTGCTCTCGGAAATGGAACTAACAGAAGCAAACTTTTTAGAAGGCGGTGAAAAATCAGAAGCTCGGTGACTTGTACAAACTCTTGGCTGGAACTTATAGCCGTGTTAGAGCTTTAGTGTCCTCAGAGATGATCAGACCAATGGACTGACTGTACAGATGAAGAAAGTAACAAGGTGAAGAAGCTACGCAGAGTCAGGGTCGCTTCTGTTCCAATCAGGGGCAGCTGGTTAGCATTGGACCGTAGACTTAGAATGTTAGTGGGGTTTTCCTATCACCTCCTTGTGGATCTTGTTTAAAAATGCAGGTTCGTTAGACTCAGGAATGAGAGAGTACAGGGTCTGAGTCAGGAAACTGCATTTTAACAAGCCTCTGCTTCAGATGCTCATGCACACCCAGGTTTGAGAACCACTGGTCTGGGTGCCAAGGGAAAAGCAAACTGCTTTGTGTCCCTTTTATGTATAGCTTGTAATGAGATCTGTTTGTTGTCTCATTATGACTTTCAGTTATTTATCAGCCCTCTGAGCTTTTGTATATATCCTTATCGCTACAAGGAAAATACATTGAAGATTTTAAATGTGGAAACACAAAGTTCATGTAACTGTATACTGCCTCAGAATCTTCAGGTAGTCTGAGTTATAGATGGTTTCAAAGTAAGAGGGGCATTTACCACTTAGTATTTTTCAAAATTATAGTTGGATTATTTATTGGCAGTTTTTTTCACTTGCTACAAATACGAAATTGTAATGCCTTAGCTGGATTTGAACTACATCTGTTTGGAAAAGAATGCTAAAGAGATGTGATATATAAGATATTTAGAGGGTACATATTCCAAAGTGAATTTATATAACTTGTATTTGTGATTTTTTTTGAAATAATTTTATTGTAATGATTGATTTACAAATAACATATGACCCCCCCTTTTTTTTTACAGCTTATTTTTGAGTTGTGTGTTTTGTGGGTTTTTTTGAGGAAGGGTGTGGGGAAAGGGTAGCTCCAGCATCACTCCTATAAAAAGAAATGATGTGATGCTCACACCACAGTTCTTAGATAAATAAGGCCATGCAGTACATACTGCTTGAGGACAATTGTTTTCACTTAACATTTTAGAATTTTTTCCATTCTGTGTCTGTAGGTTGACCTCCATTTTTAATGGATACAGACTTGAATTTGGGGGTATATTGTGATGTAGTTAGTTATTTCCCTGGCGATGTCTTCTGAAGTCTCTTTCTCTTTTTATTATTGTTGTTGTTGTTGTTATTAAAATGGTGCCACATTGGCCATCTGTGTAGACATCTTTGTGAGTATTTCTATAGGATAAGTTCCTGGAAGTAGAATGACCAGGTCAAAAGTCAGACGACCATTTTAAATTTTGGTAACTCTTGTCAAATTGCCTTCAGTAGTTTATATTTCAACCAAAATAGTACATTTGCACCTGTTTCCTGAAATGCTCCTCCACATTTGCTCTATCCATCTTTTGGAATTTTGCTAGTCCGACTAGAAACAGAATCTTACTGTTTTAATTTGCATTGAAGCAGCACAGCCTTTTGACGAAGAGGGCAGCTCTTGAGCTGGCGGGTAGGGCTGACTTCTGCCCCCATCGTACCTCGTTTTGTGAGCTAAGGGAAGATCCTTCCCTGTGCCTTCGTTTCTCATTTGTAAAACGAGGAAAATGATATTTTCCTTATGGAGTTATGAGGGTTAAATGTTCAGCACACATATGCACTCATAAATATCACTTAGCGCTGTGACTCTTACACTGCTCATGGGATTTCATTTCTGCTGTGCCCCCTTTCCCCTCCAGTTCCTGTTTATACCTTGCCTTCCCCGCAGGCTCTGCTTTGAGTCTCATAGCAGGCTTAGGTTGTCTTCATCCTCCAGGTAAGAAAGCAAAAGATGGTGGGCACAGAAGAAAAGGAAGCAGAAGCAGATGGCTCACAGGGGCCCTGCAGGTGGTGTATGGACTGATCCAGTGGAAAAACTTATTTTGGTATTTGCTATTTCTTTTGTTAATCATTTTTATAATACATGCTGGTATATTAAACTGAACAAGAACATATGAAAATTTTCTTTCCTACCTGTGCCCATTCTCATTTCCCAAAGGAAACAAATTTTTATAATAACTTATCTATAAAATGCATATGTATATTATCCATTAAATATATTAACTATTACATATCTTAAATATTATATAATAAATATCTTAAGAAATATGTGAATATATACATGCGCACACATGTTAACTGATAAATCCATTAATATGGATCTTCCTAATTATTTTTAAAATGTCTTTTTAAAGATTTTATTTATTTTAGAGAGCATGCACAAGTGGGGGGGGCAGAAGGAGAGGGAGAGAGAGGATCTTAAGCCGACTCTCACTGAGTGCAGAGCCCTACCCTTGGCTCAATCTCACCACCGACCGAGATCATGACCTCAGCCGAAATCAAGAGTTGGATGCTTAACCAACTGAGCCATGTAGGCTCCCTTTCCTCATTATTTTTAATGACCAGGTAGTATTTCATGTATGGATGATCATTATTTAGTTCCCTAAGGAAGAGGATTGTTGTTGTTGATGTTGGTTCATTTTTCATCAAACTTTTTAAAAGATTTATTTATTTATTTGAGAGAGAGCGTGCCCATGCATGTGAGCAAGCAGGGGGAGGGGCAGAGGGGGCGGGAGAAAGCAATATTGAGCAGACTCCCCCTGCTGAGCAAGGAACTTGATCCCACATCCCATGAGTTGAAACCAAGAGTTGGACCCTTAACTGACTGGCCCACCCAGGCACCAGTGGGGTCCAAATTTTTAAAGCGATCTGCAGATTTGAATATTTTGCACTCTGCTAGCTCCATGCAAATTAAGAGGGCCTTCTTAATTTGGAAGCGAATGTGGATTTGTGCCAGCACTAATGCTAAACTGCCTGGTTTGGAGTTGTTTTACGCATATTACCTGGGTGTCACTTTTGTTGTTTGTAGCAGCGGTTTCAGACTAATTTCCTGGTTACCAAGATTTCATAAATCCTGGGGCTGTAATCTCATCATATGCATAGTTGAGTGATTACAACTTTCTTTTTGGAACTTGAACTCACTGGGGGCCCTTGGGAGGATTGAACTATGTTACAGAATCAAAGGTAAAATTTGTCACAGCTTCCCCGCACCCCCCAGTCTCACTGATTAAAATTATGTTTCTGTGCTGCAGAGTTTGGATGTTGTCTTCACAAGAGAAGTCTCTGATTCCACTAGGTCAGAGGCATGTGTCATCCACCCCCAGTTCTGAAGAAAACACACACAGATCAAGTCCCACATTTTTTTAAGCCTAGGGACTTCACTGAGATGGTTGATTGATCTAAATGGAAGTGATAGGAGTCCCTCACACCGCACCTTGTCTTTGTTGAAGGAGAGTCTGAGCTGGCTTGGGTGTGAGCTGCTCTTACCTCTACTGGTCGGTCATTCGGTGTAATATTTCCCAGGCTCTGTCTTTATTGGTGAGAAATTAGGCTCAACTGGAATCATGGGCCATCCCCTTCTGCAGAAGCCACCTCCCCAGCCTCGGGCTCTGTGGCAAACTCCGGGCGAGCTGTCAGCACCCAGCAGCAATGTGAGTGCCATGAACAGTATTCAGTGCAAATAATCAAATCAGGGTTCCGGCACTAGCAGTAGTCATGGGGTCAGTGTTCTCAATGGAATGCACTGATAATAAAGACAAAACCAGTTCTCCAGTATTTGGCTACTGGAAAGCCTTTAGAGAATATCAGCCTATTCCAAAGTTAGATCTTGAGAGTAGGAGAAAGTCAAGGAAAACATGAAGGACAAGAAGGCTTGGGAAAGGCCATCATTATGGTTTATCCCTCTGAACATTGTTTTGCTTAAATTTTTTTTTTAAGATTTTATTTATTTATTTGACAGAGGGAGACATGGCGAGAGAGAGAGGGAACACAAGCAGGGGGAGTGGGAGAGGGAGAAGCAGGCTTCCCGCGGAGTAGGGAGCCCTATGCGGGGCTCAATCCCAGGACCCCGGGATCATGACCTGAGCCCAACGCAGACGCTTAATGGCTGAGCCACCCAGGCACCCCTTAAATATTTTCTTTTTGAGATTTTATTTATTTGAGAGAGAGAGCATGAGCGGGGAGGGGCTAAGGGAGAGGGAGAAAGAATCTGAGGTAGACTGCGTATAGAGCATAGAGCCTACTGTGGGGCTCGATCCCACAGCTGTAAGATCCTGATCTGAGCCGAAACCAAGAGTCAGAGGCTTAACCAACTAAGCCACCCAGGCGCCTCTTGCTTAAACATTTTAAAAAATAAACTTCTAAAAATTGTAAAAGTAATAAGTGGTCTGGTAAGTAAATTTGAGAATATAAAAGGATATAGCACATATTCCCTCCCTACCCACTTTATCAGAACCCAGTTACTCCCTTAGTGTGCCCTTTGAGGTATTTTCTGGGCATGTATGAGCATGTGTACCAATATGCTTTTTTAAGTAAAAGAGGAGTTATACTATATATATAACTCTACTATATAGTACATACATATATAGTATAAATATATATATTATATATGTATATATAACATAACTTACCCAAAAACTTACTTAGAGGCTTAAAACAACAATAAGAACTTAACTAAGTATGCACAGTTTCTGTGGGTCATGAATTCAGGAGTAGTTTAGCCAGAAGGATCTGGCTTGGACTCTCATGAGGCTGCCATCATCATCAGAAGGCTTAACTGGGGCTAGAGGCTCCGCTTCTAGTGTGGTTCCCTCACAGAGCTCCCAAGTTGATCCTGGCTGCTGGTGGGAAGCTTCCGTTCCTCTCCATGTGTACCTGCCCA